ATAAATATATATATAAATATATATCTGTGTGTGTGTGTGTCGATTGAATCCCACAGTTTCATTTCATGGAAAACGACTTGGGAAAGCTTCACCCTTCTTCCTCTTCCCAATTGGATAGCATAATTCGTTACCCTGCCTTCCACATGAACCAAGAGTCCCATGACGGATCAGGGGACGCCTTCTTGCCTCCAATTATCCCTTGGCAAGACAATAGGTCCTTTTTTACTTCCACACTCCCTCCACTTCCTCCACCCACCGCATTCTATGGCGATCTATACTCACGGCGGCTGAACTTCGCTTACGATGGAGGTTTCGGTCCAATTGGATTCGCCGCCTCTGATCAGATCGGGCTTGCGGGGCTCTACATGGCCGGAGGTTCTGAAGCCTTGCTAATGGAAGGCGGCGGCATGTCTTCAGCTTTTGGAGAGCTGGGTAAGATGACAGCGCAGGAGATCTTGGATGCGAAGGCGCTCGCTGCGTCGAAGAGCCACAGTGAGGCGGAGCGCCGTCGTCGCGAGCGTATCAACGCTCATCTTGCAAAGCTGCGCACCCTTCTCCCAAGTACCACCAAAGTAGGTCATTTTTAGTTATTTCATGCTTCAGAATCACAATAAAACTCAAAACTTTAATCATCTGAGCAGAAATTTGGTAGGATTTCAATAATTTTTATCATATTTCTTGAATGTTGCAAAAAAATCTCGCCTTTATGATGCCGAAACATCTCATTAACAAAAAGCAAATTCTCCAATTTGTCTTTTTCGAGAGTTCAATGCAAGTTTTGGTGATGTTTGACGAAGTTGACGAAGTTGGATGGAAGTAGAGTGGGGAGAGAGAGAGAGGACTACGAGGCATTGATATGATAAAGCGGAGCAGAAGAGCAAAAAGCTTGCAGCAGAGCTGTGCCTGCCGGAAAATGGCGACACTGAGCAGAAAGACAAAACACGCGCACTACTTTCGGAGAGGGACAAAGCTCTATGCGATCCCTGTTTTATTTAATTTTCTGAAAATATAAAAATGGCATCTGATATTTAATCTTCAAAAAATTCCTTTTTTTTTCCGTCTGGAAACATATATGCGGGCGGGCATGTTCCCCTCATGATTTCCACCACTTTCAACCCCCGCACGCCATATCATTAAAAGAAAACCTATAGCTATTTACCAACCCCACCCTCCCTCCTGATAACTTTTGGCTGATCATCATCTCTGTTTATTTTCAGACCGACAAGGCCTCGCTGCTCGCTGAGGTTATACAGCATGTCAAAGAGCTAAAAAGACAAACTTTAGAGATCGCCGAGGAGAGTCCATTGCCGACCGAGACTGACGAGCTAACCGTCGATGCAACAAGCGATGAAAACGGGCGCCTCATTCTAACAGCTTCCTTATGTTGTGAAGACAGGACTGACCTCCTTCCTGAACTCATCAAGGCTTTGAAATCACTCCATCTCCGAACCATAAAGGCAGAGATGACCACACTTGGCGGCCGGTTTAAGAATGTACTTGTCATCACTGCTGACGATTGTTTTGACAGTACGGATGGTAACACCGATCAGCAGAGTTATTCTGTTGAATCGATACAGGATGCGCTCAAGGCGGTGATGGAGCGCACTGCGGCGGCTGAGGAGCCTGCGGCTGGTGGCAGCAGTAAAAGACAACGGACTGCAAACTTGTCCAGCATATTGGAGCATAGGTCCATCTAGCTAGCCAATTAATGCTGCATGCAGATTCAGCGGTATTAATTATACAAATTATAAGTAATCATCGGTGCTAGTTTTTTTTCTTTTCAGTAAAAATATCATACAAATTATAAGTAATCATCGGTGCTAGTTTTTTCCTTTTCAGTAAAAATATATCTCTCCCAAAGGTCCAATATTACATCTTCCACGACTAGAGAATATTAGTTGAGGTATTTATACATGCGAATTTATTTATATATTAGTTCTGATTGTATCAATACAATCAACACAACAATAAAATCTGCGCCTTTTATATCTATTTCATAGGCGCCTGATAATTTTCTACTCCGCACAGCCATTGTCCTATTGACATATCTTCTTGAGAACGGAAAATATTTACGTACGGAATACACACATATTTTTGTGTGTGTATAGTCGGTATTATTGAGGTTAATACCCTCATAATTAGACAAAACATCGAAATAACAACAAAAAATATGAGCACTGAACCGCAAAATGTATTGGTAGGTTATTGAGAATTATTGAGGGTCTGTTGGAGTGACTCCAATAACCTCTCAATAACTCTTAATAATTGAGTTATTTGGAAGATTATTTGATGGAGTACGTATGCAAAATTGCACGATAGTATTCCGTACATAAATAGCGCTCCTTCAAAAGACTAGTAATCGTTCCTCTTGCGGGTGTGTTTTATATATATATATATATATATATATATATATTTAGAGAGAGAGAGAGAGAGCTAACGCTCGAAATACAAATAAAAAAAGTTCACTGTATTTGTTCTTACAAAAAAATATGTTTTTTGGGTTTCGTCCCAACAAACATGCAACATAAATACTGCGAGTAATGATTGTACAAAAGCTATGATAAAAAATGGACAGTTATCAGTTATACGGCAATGAGGTTTGTCTCCATTTACATGTCATGTGTATAGCATTCAAATTATAAAAAAATTCTTATATAACAATCAAGTTTCTAATATCAGACGGTAAGCGCTCACACTGTATGGATTTTTTGTAGGATTCTGTCTAGGAAATATACCTATAGATGGTCGAAGATGACATATGGTATCAACATGCAAGTACTTCAGTTTCTCTTTTTTCTTATAATTAACCATTAAAAGGATGGATCTTTTTCGTGAGATGGGATGTGGTTTGCAATAAATGCTCTGATTGCCAGAAAGCAGCAGTTAATATGGCTGTTCAACAAGAGAAGATCATCTTGTCTTCTTTGGTTTTCGAGGCAGCTGCAGAAGTACGATTCCTTGTTGTGTTTGTTTGGTAGTGAGTTCTTCATGGGCATTTGACGTGCATGACGTAGAATCCTGGACATGCAAGATTGCTAAGAGAAAGACTCGTTGCTAGATTTTTAAGGCACTTGAAGGTAATGTATGTATTTATTGAACGCTTCCTTTTCTTTCATTATATTTTTTTTTCCTTTTTTTGTGGCTTTGGAGTGTCAGATTTCATATATACATGAATAGATTTGTTGGGCTTAAATGATGCCATTTATTTTTTTTCAAATTGTTGGGTGTAGTACCACACCTTTATTGAACTCAGCTTCTCCAACGTTGCTGCCTTGACCTGAAAAGATGACATAATTTTTATTCCTGGAACACATATTTATTGCAGGTAAAAATAAATCTCAGAATTTTAAGGAACACAATTTTCAAGGTATTGAAAGAAAAATTAGCTCATAATAATGTTGTATTCTGAATTTAAAGGGTATATAGTTTCATTTTAAAACATTTTTTAACTATTTATGCTGTTGAAATGGAAAATATTTTGATTTTAAGATTCCAATTATCTTTTGGTCATTGAGCCAAACATTTCACTTCACTTCATTTATATGATATTCTATCTAGAACTTCAGCCTGTTGCTGTTAGTTGTGTAAAAATGCTTCATCAGCAGTAACATAGCTTTCTCTAATAAAATTTGTCTGCAATGAGTACTTGTATGTAGCACCAACCAACAATGAATATGAGAATGATTTTTTTCAAAAATCAAAAAAATAGTTTCATGCTATGTTGAGTGTTATAGAATGATAGATATCAATGTAATTGATTTAAGAAAATTTTAGCTCAAGATATTCCAAATAAATGAAAAATTTATACGATAATGCTAAAAAGCACATGGATTATGATAGAAGTTTATTTGAAGTTTCTAAGTTAAATGTTCTTGAGCTAGATTGACCCGAATCAAACTTTGCTTGGGCAAGCCGATCACCCCTACTATCTGTTGTCTCTTATGCTGGAAGATTTATTATCTTCTGTATCTTATTATAATGATTTTATGCACCTTTTTAATATATAATATAGGAGGTTTTTTTGAACATCATTGAGCATGATTGTGCTCGAGCATTTCATTTAGTAAGATCAAGATTTCTGAGTTCATATGATTACTATAAAACTCTATTTTATTAAGTTACATTTTAGTAATTATTAACCTTGAGAAATAAGGAATTTATTTTATTTTTCAGTGCAATACTAAAGTGTACCTTGGAATTAAGAGAAACCTTAAGTAGTTATTATGAGGTGTCGATTGATAACTAGATTATATAAAAGATTTTTGAATTTAAGCATTGAGAGGTGTATGATCAAAGTATGTTGAACTAGATTCGGCGATCCTGGAAAGGACACATGTCGAAGAATCAACTTTGACGAAGACAAACTCGCAAGTTAAGACGGAGCAAATTATCTAGATAACCAAATCGAGAAGCTCGGTCAAATAAGTAGACGAACAACTCGCCATCCTAGGACCAGACAAAATAACGATCTAATAAAAAATGAATTGTCCGTAGGGATAGTATTTCTGACGATTACTATGACCGGTTGATAATAGAGGATTTTAAGATTATTATTGATATTTTACATTGTAACTTCTATTAGCTATAAATATGGAAAAAGTAACAAGTAAAAAAGGGACCTTTTTTGGGAAGCTCGAGAAGATTACTAATAATATACTCAGGAGACTCTTTTTCATCTCTATCTCACTCTTTCTCCCACTCATCCCTATGTTATATTTCTTGGGCATGACCTACAAATAAATTTGAGTTCAACACACTGAAAAATGTGATGAGCGTGGATCATGCCACAAATAAGAGAGGGGCAATTCAATGAGAAGAGCCCTAACCTCGGGAAATCTCCAAAAACATGACTTGTGCGCATGAGTTTGCGACTCAATAGACCAACGTGTTTAAGGAGCAAATGTTTGAGGCAATCAGAGGCTCTCTTGCTCATGAAAAAGTGCAACTATAAAGATCAACGTCTCCCCACAACCCTTGAAGGATGATTTCCATGAACGATGAAAGAGACCCTAAACCATATCAAAACAACACACACATATATTACCAAGACAATGCAGGTTCTGTATTGCTTGACCATTGGAGATATAAACATGTAGAAGTGCAAAGACCCATATCGTTGGAAAATGTCTTCTCCCTGACAATCTCCAAAACGAAGTCCCCCGAGCACTCTGAAACCTCAATTTTAGAATTTTATTAAGGACAATTAAATCCAATTGATCATATCACCTCTTTTAAATCGACCATATTCATATTAAAAATTAGTTATATAGTCATGTGTCACATATTCTTCACAACTCTTAGAAATTCAAACATTCTTGGTTCAATGGTCTACCCCTATGAGTGATTACCTCCAACACAAATTGTAACAGAATGTTCATAGCTCATTTCACCAACACGCAGAAGCCCTAGAGAAATTTTCATGCTCTCTAAAACTGATCCAAGGGCAAGATGAATCCTTGCATGCAATCATAAGTCACTTTTAGAGAGAAATGATGGAAGCCCAGGACCTTTAACCTGCAGTCACGCATGCTGCTCTGGCACAAGGACTCAAAACAGACCCATTTTGCTACCCCTTATGCCTACAACAACCCAAGATGTTGGTCGAGCTGTTAGAAATTGCCAAACATCATATTTCCATAAAGAATATAATTTTTCCCTAATGACCAAAATGGGTCACCCGATATATACTGATAAAGAGAAGCAATCATGAAGGGATCAAGGTGAAATCCACATCTGCTTACTAGCGCCCACTTCTAGGAGTGGCAGTCATCCTCGAAGGATCGAATGGTGGACTAAAAAGTTTGCTACAAAATCAATTGTATTCCATGTGATGATTAAATCGATAAGAAAAAAAGAGGTCACCACCACTGACCCCACGAGCTTCCACTATAGGAATTAAGTAAATTTGTATCGGTCATATCAATTGTAAATCTAAAGAAAATCTGACATATTTGAGGTTGATCGTCAGATTTGCATTTTTTTTTTGTTAGATTGTTTTCGCGAGTAATTTGAGGGTCGTTAATGTTAGTTCCATCTATTTTGCGTTCAAATATTTCGACACAAATTATTTGCGTCTTTTTTTAGTTGTATTATTGTCATATTTGTTTAGGCTACAAGTGCGTTGAACATTGCATCTGAAAACATAGGACAATAATATTATTCATTAGATTATAGTCAAATATGCGCCCGATAATATTGAAGAATAACTGAATATTATTATCGATTTAGCGTTGGACTAGTCGACGAAAAGTTGATAAAAATCATATGCAAACCTAGTGCGTAGTAAAAAAAAATTTAAAAAGAGCAATTACATTTCCACAACCTACACACAACAAAAAATTCACATCTCAACCACATTTTATATAACCATATTAGCACAAATTAAAGCTTAAATACATACAATAATGAAAAGTAAGATAGTGTCATAAATTGTCCCAACTATGAATAATAAAATTAACCAAAAAAATTATAGTAAATGTTCAAAGTAAGACTGACAAATAGAATAAAACATAAAATGATACTACTCTTCATCTCCCTCATCATCATCCTCCTCCTACTCCTTTATGTCTGTCACCGGTCGCTTGCCTCAGCGATATGCTAAAGTATCTGTCTTGTGCGCTATAGAGTCCTTGACCTGATGTTGGCTTCTGACAAATAGAATAAAACATAAAATGATACTACTCATCATCTCCCTCATCATCCTCCTCCTCCTACTCCTTTATGTCTGTCACCGGTCACTTGCCTCAGCGATATGCTAAAGTCTCTGTCTTGTGCGCTATAGAGTCATTGACCTGATGTTGGCCCTCTATCATCTGTTCAAACAACTAGAGAAGCTCTTTGTTCATTGCAGTAACTTGCCTGACAATGGCCTCATGATTTGGTTGTACGGAGATCGGAGAACTTAGTACTAGACCACATGAGCTCTCAACCTCGAAGGGTATGCCCTTCGCATCAAGGCCTTCACTTCTTATTCCCCGCCGCCTGAGTTCAAAGCTTCTAGTTGGACTGCACAGTGGTAGACTGACTACCACTATTGCTGGTAGAAGTCTGGGTCTGAGTGGCTAAGTGTCTCTTCCGGAGCTGCTCAAACTTCTCCTGCATAGATAAATCCAGTGTATAATTGACACTTTCAATAGTTAGAGTAAAAAAAACTTAATTTTTTTTTACTTACAACAACCAATTTTGAATGCTCTGAGACCCACTGTTGTGTCTATGGGTGTCTATGTGTTCAAATATGCAATTTTGTAATGGAGGCAGTACAACTCAACTCCTTGGCCTGTGTAGCGTATTAAATTGCATAGAACCACAAAATTACTTCAAAGATTGAATTTTTAAAAATTTAAAAGAATCTTACTAGCCTCATGTAGTGCTCCATATGGGGGGACTGATCCGCTTATATGGAGCTCAGCTCCCCTGGTCCCCTCCTTCACCTAGATCGGCTAGTTCATCTGCCTCTTCTTCTCATAAGCAGAAGAGGCCCAAGCTACAGTCAACTGACCCTAAAGCTCCTTATAGATCTTGACAGGCCACTCATCCCTCCAACGGGAAATCGTGAACATGTCTACAATTTTTGAGTGACTTCAATGATATCATAAGGCGAAAGTGTTTGGGTTCCTTGATTCCAAATAGGATCGAACCACTGACAATTTAACAAGTGTAAGATGTTGCTGTCATTACCTTGATATTGCAATTAAACTATTTCATCAAGTATGTTGTAATAGCTAATGTTTCTATCTATGAGTGTATTTCCTTAACAGTGACACCAAAGTTGTATGTCTTCCTCTCATTTCACCAATAACTCGTATGGACTTCATAATCAATTACATCAAAAATCTGTCATGCAGTAATGTTGTGACTAGGCCCCCAGACAGGATCTAGTAATCTATGATTTGTGATTCTCTTAGTTGTATTATGAACCTATAATAATTTGAAAGGTATTATTTGTGTAACTTTAAATGTGAAGATTATATTACGTACATGTGATTTGAAGAGTTACTTCTACACACTTAAAATTTGAACCATATTTGAAATTTTGCTTTGACCTTTTTATATATCAGAGACTCATCTTTTATGTTCAATCTTTAAATTAATAATTTTCTAATGACATTGTTATTTGCATTTTTGAATTAGTTAGT